ATATATAAATATCAACAACTCATAGCCCGAGTAGTAAATACATCACCAAACGATCGCCTAAATATCGGGCTATAATACGGCTAATTAAATGATTGGAATAAAGTAATTTGACACTAGAGGTAGACGTTAGGCGCCATCTCTTAAGTAAATTAATAATTAAATAAATAAATCAATAAATAAATTTAGAATCTTCTGGAATAAAAGAACTGGCCCGGGGCGGGACTCGAACCCGCAGCCTCCGCTTGCCGTGCGGTGCGCTTACCAGTTACGCTACCCAGACCCTCGACCTAGTCTTCGCTTCCAGAAGTATATTAGATTTAGATATAACCTTACTTGGTTAAATACAGCCCGATATTTAGGCGATCGTTTGGTGATGTATTTACTACTCGGGCTATGAGTTGTTGATATTTATATAGATTAAGATAAATTACTTGAATTTCTACATTGCTTCTACATTCTATATTGCATAAGATAAGTCATTGAAATGATATTATTCAATATTTTTGGATAATTAAAAACAGTAATTACAATAATATAAACATTATTCAATTGATAAAAAAATAAATAAATGACTAACATTTGATATTAATATTCTTAATTATGTTTACTCATTTAACGAGCAGCAAAAACTATTTTATAATCAAATATTTGACAGCAATTGATAATTCAATAAAATTAAAGATACATGCAGTGCTATTTTTCAGTTGGAATGCACCAGTATACTAGCAGGTGAGAAGTCTGGTGAAAGGCACAATAAAAATGAATGAAATGAACTAGGACACTATCAGCAACATTGAATACCATTGGTTGATTGGAGCTGACATAAAAAGCAAATGATATAAGGACTCCCTTTTGTCAGAGACCATCATTCAATGAAAGGACAAACATTTTCTAATTACCTGTCCCTTTGTTCTTATCAAGAAATGAAGTGCAGAGCACTAATGATAATATTTTGAAAGGAAAAGGTAAAAATGTAGTTAGTAACTACATTTAGCAACTGATACTAAATCCAAAACATGAAATAGAAAAAAAGTACAGGATGAAAATATACAAAAATTTGAAAAATACTATAAATACTACAATATGAATGTGTAAATTTACATAGAAAAAAATTAATTTCTAATTAGTACTATTCAACAATGTTTTTCAGTTATTTTTTCCTAAAACAGAATTTTATTTTTAGTCACCATATGTGCATACCAGAAGTAACTTTTTTAGAAAAAGACTGTATATATACTTATATAATTTAATCTAAATTAAATTTTTGTAGTGAAAACTTAACAAATACACATATACACAAATTCCACACTTAAGGAAATATTAAGATTCAACTTTGTTGAGAACATTTCAAACTACAGATTGTTGGTAGAGTATTTTTTGTTCATTTATTTATAAGGAATATCTAAAAGTCATATCTACCCCATCCTGTTTTCTACAAATTAAAATATTATTGCTTTTGACAGGTTTATATGAAATTACACTTCACCTTCAATAATTGGCAAAGCTATTCACGGGCACATATTATGATAATTATTACAAAACAGTTTATGTTTTATTAAAATGAAACTCATTAAATTTGAAAGATTATAAATTTATAAAATCTCAATTTATAAAACATTCTGTAGTATGAAATATTTTATCCCATGTTTATCTGTTAAATAATTTTAAATGAGTACCTTTAGTTATTCATTAAATATAAACTTCATTTCTTTTAGTTTCTTGTAATTCTGTTGAAATTATGTCACTGAGTCATCATAGAATTAAGTAAAAACTCAATATTTGAAATATTTTAAAATTATAAATAAAATTTTTACAGGTTTTTAGTATTTCCATACAAAATGATTATTAAAATTAGAACTATTACATTTACTAAAGCACTGTAAAACTAACGAAACCATTAATTAAAATTGAAACCATTTTTGTTGTTAAAGCTATAATTTATCCATCTAACAAAATTTCACATGGATCATAATCACCCCATTACTCCTATATTAATTTTGACAACTATATAATATATAAACAAAACTGACAATTCAATACGTTAATTTATGATTTAACTGCACGAATTACTTTTCAAATAATATTAACTTTTTTTATATTAATGGTTTGGCATCATCAAATTTTAAATATTTCGTAGTTAGTTCAGATTGAATAGCATTAAGAACTGACGATGAGACAAAATAACCAAGCACGTGCTTTACATATTACAGAGTAACTTACTCTGAATAAAAGTTCATCATTTGTTTATTACCCAAACATAAACACAACCTCATTCATCATATTTACTGTATATCTCCCACGCTTCGTCCCTCATAATGTCGCCATAGAATTAGCATTACAAACGACCCCTGGCAGTATCAGTCGTTATTTTTCTTTAAATTATTTTTTTAAAGATAATTGCTATTTTATAAATAATATAATGTTTTTAAGTTTAAATAATATGTATATTTAAATGTTACATAAAATATGTTTTTCAACATAAGATACTTGAAAGACAAGTACTGTACGCGTATTCAGAAATGTCTGTCTTGTTTTTAATAACTAAAATAATGTTGCATTGTAATTAAAAATATTTTTATATTCGTTACGTCAAGCTTTGATGTACTATTACATCGATGGCTGCCCAAACTTGTTAGCTTCTGTACAACGTGCTCTACAAGACGCGAAAATACCTCATTCAAAAGCGGAGAATCAAACATAACCGAGAATCAAACATATTTATTAGACAATTTAAAAATATTTAAAAGTGAGACATCTGACTTTGTTTTACAGAACTAAGTGCATCAAAATTGATCTCCACTGATGATGTCGCTACACGCAAACAGTTTTCCAAATGAACATCAGTAATTCGATCTCACTTGTGATTTGATGTATTTCATGCGACTAAACAGCTGTTCACACGCATAAGTGTTTCCACATAGCGAAACCATCGACAAAGCATGTTTGTAAAACGCAGGATATTTATCCTTGTCCAAATACGTTTCATAGAACTCTTCCAAACCAACTTGATGAAATTTCTCCAACGTTTCAAGGTTTACTTACTTATAGAATCGATATGGTAGACAGGCTACTTGGTTAAAGTAGTTTGAACTGTAATTATAAAAATGCTAAATATGTATTTTAACGCCGATTGCAAAATCTCTCCAGATGCATTGGCGATAATAAAACGAAACTACAGAATAACACGGAACTTTGTCAAGCTGGACTGAAAGTAGTTATGAGTATGAGCCCGATAGCATTGTGAGCTTCCCGAAAACGCCGAAGACTACAGAACATATATAGCTGAGGTCTCATATTAAATTTTATCAACACCTAGCGTCGGACAAAAAACTAAGTAGCCTTGAGTGTCAAATAGCGGGATATTTGAAATAACTAAAAATCTATGAATTTTTCCAAAATGAGAGATAATTCAAATTTCTCTTAGCTATAATTTAAAAATACATGATACGAATAACTCATGACGTAATGTTCTTTTGGTGATATGTACTACAATAAAGTTAACATTTACGTTCATTTGACCTAGCTCCACGGGCCGCAACATGACTCCAGGCGGGCCGCATGTGGCCCGCGGGCCTCATGTTGGCCACCCCTGTTTTAAAAGATCCTCATAGGCTGACCATAACATTTACAACCCAACCGGCAACATATTTCAGGATTAGTAAAAATGTGTTCTAAAACTGATTGAACTTCGTTATTTTTTAAAATTTATTTATTTATTGGTCTATAAGTTAGTGATATTATATTAGCATGTTAATAACATTGTTCTATTCAAAGATTGATTCTACAATCACATATTAAAAACAGGCAAAACCAGGAACAGTACCCGGAAATCGGGGATGTCTGGTCACCCATCTTTAAAATGCTTAAAGTTGCATCCCAATTGAACATTTAATATTGTATGTTAAATTGAATTGAATTGTAATTTTTGAATGTCAAATATTTAACCAGTTTCTAGATTATATTTTAAAATGTAATAGGTCTACTTTGTAGGCCGGATGGCCGAGCTGTCAAGGTGGCAGCCCACCGCCCTGGGGAACTCGGGATCGAATCCCTAGGTATTTTTCGGGGGCTGGTCCGCTCGGATATGTCGGGTTTCGCCCCCACTACGCGACTGCCCCATTGTGGGCCTGGCGAACTCGCAATGGGACTGCTATAAGAGGCCCTCCTAATGCCCACAGGGCGGAAAGAGTGTAAAAAAAAAAAACAAAAAGCCTACTTTGGAAAAGTATTCATTTTATATTAAATTGAATTTAATGTATTTTCAAATTATGTTACTGAAAAATATAAAAATGAAGTAATATATTTTTAATACGAATTTATTTAATTTTTTATTTTTAAAATTTATTATAACACTTAACATTATTAATATTATCAAATTAAAGTTTGAAAGAAAAATAATTACTAATTTGTTAGTTTTAAAAGATATCGCAGACAAAATCGGAAATTTTGTAAGTGACATTATAATTGGATCTCGCAAATTGCGATTTATCGATGCAACAAATCGTAGAAGCATTTACAGGCGGAGTAGCGATAGTTACTATGTCTTGAGTAATAAGTTCGTCGTCTATGACTCTGACGTGAAAGTTTAAAAATTTGATGCTTGAAGTTTAGAAATCAATTTGAAATATTTATTTGGGTAACGAGATAAAGTATGTATTTTTAAAATAATATTATATATATGTAAAATAAGTTTTAAAAATGTAAAAATTAGATTTCGTTTACTTAAAATGAAATATCAGCATTTTAAATAGTTTCAGATGAGTAATAAAACTAAATTTACACTAATGTAATGATAAATTATCTACAAAATTTGATATTCTGTAGATTATTTTATTCATTTGTTAATATTTCTATAAGACGATATTCAATTAGATTTTAATGTTTTCAACTTAATTTTACTTCTGATATTGTAAAAATATATAGCCCTGGTCCATCATTTGAGTAGTCAAAAATATCTACTTATTGAGTATTTTTGGAGATCAATGTCTACTTCTCTAAAATCTAGAAAATATCTATTTTGGATGCTACAGGTATTTTGCTTGGATTGTAGACTCATTAGATTAGAAAAAAAAAGCTAAAAGGGACAGTAATAACTCTTCATAAGATACTTATTTATTTTTCAATAGAAAAAAAAAAAACAGCAAAATATTCTGTTTAAAGATCAATGTTTTTGGGCGTGTTTGACAAAACACACTCCCAAAAAAATTGATCCTAGTTTTTAAGGTTTCTTGACAACTGTTAGAATGATTTAAGGAATTTAAATACAATTGTATATTAAATATATATGTATATAATAACCATATATTATAATAATGATGTATATTAATTAAATATGCCAGCAAATAATTTTATATTATAATTCATACTGTATAAGCATTTTTAAATCACTTATATAAGATGAAATACTGTGTTATAAAATCTTGTTAATATGAAGTTTAAGAGTTTAAAAAATCCTGACTTCAAGTTATAGTTTAGAGTTAACAGGTTTAATTCTTGATTTTCTCAAATTTTTCTGTGGCTGCAAGTTTCCTGTCGTTGAGCTATTTCTTGAGAATTTGTTTACAGAATGATTACAAAATTATTTATATTATATGGTACTTTTGAGTGCATTGTCAAGATGCTCTCTTGGAATGCCAATAACATACTATATCAGTAAAAGGATATCTTCACAAGATTTTAATAGCATGGTGTTGTGTTCAGTATTGAACTATAGTGTTTATGTTCATTTTCTCTAATATTCCATATGAATACTGATGATTAAGATCACAAATCTGTTAAAGGACTGAGGGTATACAGGAAAATAGGTTTTAGTTAAAAGTAATTGCAATCTTGACAATGAGACCCATATTATATGAAAAACCTTATATACTGTGCCTGGGACTGGTAGAGAGCTTAGAGCTAACACAGTTCAATTTAGTGATGTTTTTTCCTAGTATAGAATAGTCTATTTATGCAAATATAATTACTTATCTGTTCATTACAAAGAACAATTTAATATAGTCTGTTTACAGATGATATTTGTAGTAAATAATGCATGTACCAGGAAAAATATAAATATAAAATTTTCTAGTACTATATATTGGGTGTAATTTATTTTACATTGCCATTTTGTTTTGTTGTCAGGCAATCTTGATGCAAAGCATCAACGTCATTTCCTTGTGTCATGATTCTTGAAATGGAGAAATGTGCAGCCATTATGTTTTGTTTCAAACTTGAAAAAGCTGTCACAAACCTTTCATCTATTAAAGCAAGCTTACAGGAATGATTATGCTGGGATATACACAGGTCTTTTAATGGTTTTGATAGTTCTATGAAGGCATCAATTCAAGGCAATCCAAAACAGTGTTGCACAATAACAAGCAGTACCAATGAGAATGTTGACAAAAAATAACACAAACACACCTTTCATAGCAAGCAATAACTTTAATCACAGAACAAATGTTTTCAGTCCAATTTACAGTCTGCTTCAGGTTAAAGCCACTCCAAAGATAAAAGAACTATGTTCTGTTCTAAAGTGGAACAATTCAAATATTCTGTGGTATTTAAAATTTGTATGTTGCAATACAGTATTAAAAAATTAAAAATTACATTGAATAATTATATAAATTAAATTATAATAAATGTATATAAATTATATAAAGCTTAACCACAAAGAAGTGGACAGTTTAGGATAGCTGTTAGAAATAAGGTTAGAGAGTAAAGCTTGCCAAATTTGTACTATGTTAGGGCTTTCTCTATTCTTAATGAAAAACCTTTTGATTACCACCTTAGATGTTGATGGCTTCTATTCTTAATTTTTTTACTTCAGGCTTATGAAATAAACTGAAAATGTTTGTTTGTCCATATAATGAATAAACCTCTTGCTGGAAAAGTGTGAAAGATATTGATTTGAAGTTATTGGTTCCAGCTTCAATAAATAATACCGTATTTACTTGCATATAAGACAAGGTTTTATTTATTTTTCACTGCTTCAAAATCCTAGGCCATCCTATATGCATGAGCGAAAGATTCTTTGTGTTTTTGCAATAAGTGAACCATGTATTTGCATTTTTACCGGATGCTCACCCTCTGGTGTTTAAAAACAAAAGTATTTATCTGGGTCATTTGAATTTTTCTTGTGTATTGTCAGGAGTAAAGATGAATAGGAAAAGCAAAGCTTTTGAATTGAATTCCAAATTGAAATTCCAAAATCACACGGGAGCCTGATATAACTTTTAATACAAAACGACTACTAATCCAAACACTGTGTTGAGTAACAATAATCCACAAAACCTTTTTATAACAGTGTTGTGTCCTATAACAATCTTCACGAACGTTTTCGACCTCCACCGAGGTCTGCT